TGGTAGAGAGTGGGGAGAAGAATTTGAGGGAAGCCAGGGGATTGCCTGGAATAGATGGATGGAGCTTTCTGGCGTAATGGAAATGTGCTTTATCTTGTTTTGGCTGGTAGTTATGTGGAGTTATACAATTGTCAAAACAAATCATCTTTTTAAAGTGTGCAATTTAATGTTTTTTAGTGTTCAGAGATAAGTGCAATTATCATCACAATCAATTTTAGGATATTTTCATCACCTCAGAAGAAACCAAAAACCCTTTACTATCACCTTCCATTGTTCCCAAGTCCTAAGCAATCACTAATCTACTCTCTATCTCTATGGATTTGCCTATTCAGGACATTTCATTAAAATGGGATCATATAATATTTGGCCTTCTATGACTACCCTCTTTTACTAGAAAAATGTTTTCAAGATTCACTTACGTTGTAGCATCAATCAGTATTTCATTCTTTTTCTGGCTGAAGAATATTCTATAGTACGTATATACCACATTTTGTTTTTCCATTCATCAACTGATGACAGAAATTTGGGTTGTTTCCACCTTTTAGCTATTATAAATTTGCTAACAAACATGTCTTATTATATGAAAAAATTTTAATAAAGAATATGATATGAAAAATCATATTGCTACTAAACAGTATGATTTCTGAATGTTTCAATGGATGGCAGAACAAAAACATCTCAAAATGGCAGACAAGTTTTCTTATAATAAAAACATGTTTCAGGGGAGAAAAAAGTTTTATATCAATAATATGATGAACTGTATGTGGTATTCGTCTCCTGTTGAAACAGAGTTTTCTTGTGTGAGGAAGTACACTGTCTGAAGGAGAATTTAAGCGCCTTCTCACACACATTTGGTGACTCCACTGCCTATAACCACGCCCCAAGAATGTTTATCATTCTCCTGACTTCTCTACACCCATGTGAACAAAATCAACATTGAAGCATGACCTAATTCTCTTTTTGAGGGATAATAAAAACAGTTTAGCCTGATTACCAAAGACAGAAAATAGTTTCAAAATAATCTGTGTAGCTTTTAGCACAATATTTACAAAAATATATAATGCCTTAAAGCTGTCATAATAGAAGGAAACTTATTCTTTACAAAATAAAGAACATTTTCCTGAAATAATTATAAATTATTTTTTTATGCTATGGTCCAGACAAGATTTTTATTACTGGCAAAAATGAACAAACAAAACAAAACAAAATAACTGTTAAGTGGATCTCCATGGCAACTTCCTTTTGTAGAGATGAGGGGAAGAGAACATTAGGAATTATTATTGTGTTCCTACTCCCTTTTGGCAGGGGCTCTGCTATATATTTTATCTGCACAGATTTCCTCATTTACTCCACAGAACAGCCTTATGTAGTAGGTACTATACTTTATTCTCATTTTACAGAAATTAGCTAGCTATGTGCTGAAGAGAGTGTGCATGTTCTGTGTGAGCAAAGAACTAAGAGTCTCCTGGTCTTTGCTGGGACTCTGTGTCTCTGTGTATGTTGGAGTACTGGGACATGCAGTTACAACTTTTACTTCTTGCTTATGCAGAGCCCAACGTGTGGATTGAAGACCTTCCCAGGTCTTTCCTGAGCATGCACACTCAAGACTTTGCTCACACAGAACACACATCTACAATCCAGGTACAGTCTTCCATATCCCTCTCCATTCACAGCCACTATTCCTAAAAACTAACTACACTATTGCTGCCACTTCCTCGCTTCTAATTCTTTTTGAATCTCATGTGCTTCCATGCAAAACATTCCCTTTAAACTGTGTCAGGATTTATAATGACTTTGTAACAGTCAAATCCAAATCCAAAGGATGTTATTTACCATCTCTCTAGCCTTTCTGACTTCTCACTTCTCAAACACTCTTTTCCTTGGTTAACTGACCTTTTTCTTTATTCTTAAATGGCTCCTCTTCTCCAACTACACCTATAATTCTTTAATGTTCACCAAAAACTAGGGGTTTATCCTTGATCTTTGTGCTAGACCCATTGGTTCTTTTCTATAATTTCTATTTATTAATATTGCCTATTTTGATGAAATATTTTCATACTTTCCTTTAGTTCTCTATATACAGTCCCCTTGGATTCTTAAAATAGTTAAAGTCTTGATTAATAAATTCAATATTTTGGCTTCCTCAGGAATAGTTTCTATTGACAGCTTTTCTGTGTATGGGCCATGCTTTCTTGTTTCTTGCATATCTCATGATTTTTGTTGAAAAATGACTTTAAGTAATATAACTATTCCGAAAATCAGATTCTCCCCCTTTCCCGCAGTTTGTTAATTGTTTTTAGTGACTTTTCAATACTAATTCTTTAAAATCTATATTTTTTGTCAGATACAACCACTGAATTTTCTTACTGATTGAGTAGAGATTTCCTCAAATTCCTGGAACTAAGAGTCTCCTGGTCTTTGCTGGGACTCTGTGTCTCTGTGTGTGTTGGGGTACTGGGCCATGCAGTTACAACTCCACCTTAGCCTTTTACTTCTTGCTTATGCAGAGCTCAATATGTGAATTGAAGACCTTCCCAGGTCTTTCCTGAGCATGCACACAGTCTTCTATATTCCTAAGTCTTACGCTGGATTCTTTTCAAGGTCTCTATGGCTATTTCATTCCTCAACTTTCCTTTTAATTTTTTGGGTTAGTCTGTTGTTTGCCCCAATTGACACTTCAGAGAGCTGCACTATTAAACAGTTGTTGCTGACTGGTCTTAGCAAATGCTTCTGGAGAAAATATTCTGTATGCTGGGTGAGTGTTCATTCAGGTAAAATACAGATAAACTTTTCAAGGGGGGTTTGCCAGGAAATTGACAGGATAATGACAGTTCTCAAAGGATGGGGCTTTGAAAGAGCTTCAGCTCCATTTGGACTCCTCTAGGGCTGGTGAGGCTGCTTAATTTATACCATAATTGCAAGCTGTTGGTTTTCAAGACTACCATGGAGCCGGGGAAATGGGGGTGGTATTTTTAGTGGTATGTCCACTAAAACCTGGGAGTTTATCCTTGATCTTTGTGCTGATGAAAATGCCATGAAGCTTGCTGTTCTTACAGAGATTCAGTTCTTTGTTGTTTTAAATACATATTCCTGAGGTTATAGAATTAAATCTGGTAAATTTCCAAAGTCATCAGCAAAATTGATTAGGATAATTTATGTCAGAGTTGTTGGCACTTTTATTTTTTAATTTTTTTAAGAGAGAGAATTTTTTTAATATTTATTTTTCAGTTTTTGGTGGACACAACATCTTTATTTTATTTCTATGTGGTGCTCGCACATGCCAGGCGAGCGCGTTACCGCTTGAGCCACATCCCCAGCCCCTGTTGGCACTTTTATAAAGGAGAGAATTTTCCAATATTGTCATTTTTGCTACTCCCAGTTAAAACACTCATTCCCCTCATTTCTAGATTTCTTTGAAAAAATATCAGATTGCTTAAACCAGTAACTGTAGTAGTACACTATGGCAATTATCATATATTAAAAGTAAGTGTATGACAATAATAACATGAAGAATAGAAGGAGTAAATAGAAATAAACTGTTGAAAAAGTCTTTTTTAAAAAAATATTTATTTTTAATTGTAGTTGGACACAATACCTTTATTTTATTTAATTATTTTTATGTGGTGCTGAGGCTTGAACCCAGGGCCTTGCTCATGCTAGGCAAGCGCTCTACTGCTGAGCCACAACCCCAGACCGAAAAAGTCTTATATTAAACATGAGGTGGTTTGACACTACGTGAAGGTAGACGGAGGTAAGTTAAAAATGTATGCTGCATATCCTTGAATTATAAAAAAAAATTAAAGAACTAATGCAATATAAAAGAGAAAATGAAATACTAAAAATCACCAATTGATCTTTAAAATGGTATTAAGAAAAAGAATCAGGGCTGGGGTTGTAGCTCAGTTGGTACAGTATTTGTCTAGCATGTGTGGGGTACTGGGTTTCATCTTCAGCACCACATAAAAAATAAATAAATAAAATAAAGTTATTGTGTCTGTCTACAACTTAAAAAAAATATTGAAAAAAAAGAGGGGCTGGGCTTGTGGCTCAGTGGTAGAACGCTCATCTCTCATGTGTGAAACACTGGGTTCAATCCTCAGTACCAAATAAAAATAAATAAATAAAAACAAAAGTATTGTGTCCATATACAACTAAAAATATATTTTAAAAAAGAATCAAAGAAGACACAAGACAAAAATAAAACAAATAGCAAAGTGCCACATCATATTGCAACTTTCTGTGTGTTTGAAAACATATCCTTCTGTCTCTTTCATATATTTTTTTCTACTAGGTTACAAGTTTACTAAATTTGAATGATAAACAGACATAAAACAAGGTTATTTACTATAAGAAATGCACTGTACATTTTAAATTCTCTAATTTGGAATCTATAAGAATTTATAAAATTTTACTAAACTAATCAATTAATATAATGAGATGATATGAAAAAAACATAAGATTATGTTATTGCTAAAAGTTATTTTAGAAACTTCATCACACAAATTTGTCATTTTACAATTAAGAAACTAAGAGTCAAAGTGATTAATTGCCAATTGATAAAAAAAATCATATGGCCAATCAGAAGTGGAACTGTTGTAAAATACCTATTTCATACTTTCAAGTCCAGTTGTCTCAAGAGAAAATAATTTCCATGCAATGCCAACAATGCATACAGCATAAATAAATGTGCTCATTTGAATTGATTGTTGTCTAACAGGTCCAGCAAGATCTCTACTAGTTAAGTTCTATACATATCTGAAAATGATTAAACTTTTAAAAATAGATATTGTTAATTTTAGAGTTTTAATTAATTCCAATTCTTATTGATTAATCAATATTACGGAAGTGTGCAGCAGTTAAAGAAATATCAAAAATACCATAGCTAAGAAATCAAAGTTCAGCCTATCAAGCTCAGAGAATACAAACTTACATTCAACTCGAGGAAAAACACATTTATGGCAAAAATAACAAACACTTATGAAATCTATGTGCAATATTACCTGTAGCTCCCAGTGGGTGTCCTTTTGAAATCAATCCACCACTAGGATTTATGACCCACTTTCCTCCATAAGTGTTATCTCCTCTATCGACCAGTATTCCACCTTTCCCTATGAAAGGAAAAATTATAATCACAAATGTTAAAAATAACACTGGAACAAATGGCATGGATTTTTAAATATCCACATAGCCAAGAATTTCTTAGACCTAGCATGTCTTAATAACTTAACAACAATTTTGTAGGAACACTTCTAAAAGTTAAGTAATAAATATTGAGCAATAAAGGCTTATCTTTTCAGAACATGTCCTGCATGAAATAAAGCTCCTATTAGTTCCTAAGAGCTCTCTGGCTTCCAAAATTGTTCCAAATATAAAAAAGATTCAAAAAACCAGAAGAAAAGTACTGAAATGGATATAAATACTATATGATATTACAACTAAAATAATTATAACAACTTTGAAGTTCATGTTTTCATTTCTTTCTGTTTTCAATTGTACTGCTGTGTGCTAGATAAACATTTTTAATAAAAGGAAAAACAAGAAAAAAAGCCCTCTTACGAAACTAAGGGAAATGGCTAAAAAACACGTTGAGCCACAAAAATAATGTTGAAAAAAAAATCACTTCTTATTTTTGGTGGCTTCAAAATTCCTGTCAATTTCCTGCTCACTGTTTCAAGTGGTTAAGAAGCAAATCAAAGCACATACATTGTATAAAATATTATTTCAAATGATATTTCTGACAAAGTAAGGAGAAATGGGCACTCCAAAAGATGATCATAATAGCAATGGTGGTACTGTGTGAAGTAACTCAAAATCTCCTTGGGGCATTCACTGTGTTAGGTCTTGTTCTAATTATTTTCCATATATCTTTACAATTTAATCCTCTAATCCTTCATAGAACCTATGAAGTAGATACTATCATTTTCATTTTCCAAATGAGGAAACAGTCAAGGTAAGAACAACAGACAGGAAAAAAAAAGGCATATCTCTACTGGTAAAATAAAGTATACCAATCACAGAATTCAAATGACCAATACTTCTAAACTGCTTCTAAATCTAGATTATAGATTTTAAAATCCCATTGGGTCTGGGAGTGTAGGTCAGCGTAGAGCAGTTGCCTCACATGCTTAGGCACTCTTTCTATCTCTTGATATGTTTCTGACTTAGAACCTGCTACAAGGCCGGAGTCATCATAGATATTCTACCTGTTATCGCTGTTTTCACAACTGTTAATGTTGTTACTATACCAAGTCAGGGCAGACTAAATAAAACCTAACCCCAAGAAATAAAAATTTTACTACATGTTTTTTCCAAAATATATACAAACCTGTAAAATAGTAATAGATTGTTAAAAGATTTTAAAAGACTGTATTGAACTTAACAACTAAAAGATAAAGTACTAAAATTACCACTCTGACCTACCATGGAAAGAGGAAAATATGTGCACACTTTTGGAAAATAATTATTATGACTATTATGTGCCAAAAGTAACCTGGGAACTAATGGATACAATGTGACCAAAACAGACAAAACTATGTGCTCTCATGGAATTTAATTTATGATAGGAGAGGAGTGAAGAAAAGAGAGACAATGTGTAAAATAAATACATAGAGTGACTGAAGTGCCATAGAAAAAAGAGGCAGGAGGGGCTGGGGTTGTGGCTCAGCAGTAGAGCGCTCGCCTAGCATGGGCGAGGCCCTGGTTCAATCCTCAGCACCACATAAAAATAAGTAAATAAAATAAAGGCATCCATCTACACATAAAAACAAATATTAAAAAAAAAGAAAAAAGAGGCAGGAAAGGGAACTTAGGAAGTGCTGGGACTGGGATGAAGGGACTAAGGGAACAAATCATAGGGTATCTGGAACAAAGGCCTGAAGAAAGGAAGGAGTCCAGAGCACTTGAAGGAGATTGACATAGCAGCAGGAGAGTAGAATCAGAGAGAAGTAGAAGAGGTTGGAGAGCTGGGAGTGGGGATTCCAGAGATCACATTTGGCTCATGCATCAGGGTAAGATAAGAAACTACAGGGTTCTGAACAGGGGACCAACACTGACCTACTATACTGGCTTCTGTCTAGTGAAGAGACTAAGGAGACAATGTGGATGCATGAGACTAGCTGGGAGACTACTATAATAATCTGAGTAAGAAACAAAGCTGGTGGTGACGAAAAGTGATGAGGTTTGGTCAAACCCTGGATTTATTCTGAAGGGAAAATCCACAGCCAACATGACTTGGAGATAGATTCAGTGGAGGCTGTGAGAGAAAGAAAGGACTCAAAAATGATCCTAAGTTTCCAGTTTGGTTAATTGGAGGATAAGGAAGATTGAGGGAGGAGGAAGTTTGAAAATATCAAGAGTTCAATTCTGAACTTAGGTTTGAGATGCTTATGAGACATCAAAACAAACAAACAAACAAACAAACAAAAACCTTGAAAAATAGGTAGCTGGATACCTAAATCTAGAGCTGCAGGAGGGAGACAGAACTAAGATATACACATACTGGATGCTTAACCCTGAGACTGGGTTCCAGTTCTGCTATGGCAGCATATGATCCCTTCAGCCCTTTTCTCCCACTGATCACAATTGTAAACACTGGCTAAAATAATAAAACAACTACCTGAGAACTCTGAAAAGTAAACAAAAGCAGGGGGATTACAGGAGGAATTATAGTGGAGAAGCCACTGCACCAGGGTGAGTTCCTAGCTATCGTTCATGAGACTCTTTCTTAACAGCCGTGCCCAGGATGAGCATGGTCCTGGAACAGCACTGTAAGCAAGGGCGACCATGACTCACCAAAGGGAATCAGTCAATGGATCTATATGGTCACTAGATTTCTCCATTTCATGTGAAATGGTGTAATTTTAGCTCAAAGGAGACTATGAAAGTTAAATACACATACTATGACCCTTATAGCAATGGTTCTAACTGGGTTAGATTCTGCCACCAGGAGACATCTGGCAATGTCTAGAAATATTTTTGGTTGTTACAACTGTGGGGAGAGTTGCTACTGGCATTTAGTGGCTAAGAGGCCAAGAATACTGCTGAATACCCTAAAATGCACAAGCCAAATCACAAGAATAATAGAGCTCAAATGTCAACAGTAATGAGGTTGAGAAACTTTACCCTATAGCAACTACTGGTTAAAAAAAAAAAAATACAAAGAGATATAGCCAAAAATACCAACACAGGAGAATGGAGAACTCTGGAGGAGGAGAACAAAGGAACAGAAAAGACAAAAAGAAAACAGATAATCAAATGGTCGATCTAAATTCTACTGTATCAATAATTACATTATATGCTGAAGGTCTCAAGTTAGCACTGCACAACAGAAATATAATGCAAACAAAACCACATATGTACTTCGTTAACATTTTAAAATTTTGTTTTTCAAAAGACATTATTAATGAAACAAAAGGCAAGCCACAGACTAGGAGAAAATGTTCACAATGTACATTTATCAGACAAATGACGGATCCAGTTTTAATTTTTATCTATATCTATAGTTATGAAAACTTTTACAACACAATAAAGACAAATAACCAACAACCAAAGGGCAAAGATTTGAACAAATACTTTATAAAATAAGATACATGAATGACCAGTAAGCATATGGAAAGATGTTCAATATCATTAGTTATCAGAAATATGCAATTAAAACAAAAATAAGATACTACTATATACTCTTTAGCATGACTGAAATTTTAAAAACTGATTATGTCAAATGCTGGCAAGGAAGTAAAACAACTAAAAGTCTAATATACTGCTGGTAGGAAATGAAGACAGAACATTTAGATTCTACCAACATTTTTTTTCATTTTCCTTTGTGCAAATATTTATTCATACATAATTAGAAAAACTTGAAGCATATTATACCATTTTTAAAATTTAACAGTAATTTGGATAACATAAATTATTGACTTGGATAATATAAATTATTTGTATACTCTGTTATTTCCGTGCTGGTATTGTCTAAGACCACAATGTTCTAAAAAGTCCAGTACCAAACCTGCTTATATTCACTCTGCACAGTGCAGTGGTGGAGCCAATGTGGAAACAAAGGTGGATTATTCTGTTTAATGGTGAAAGTGAAGCTTTCTCAGTGAAAGTTACCAAATTAATCTGCCTTCTTCAAAGATACTACCTTCTGGACAGAGTCCCAGTGCTTCATAAGTAAGGAGCTCATTCACAGAAAAGCAATCATGAAGTTCAATTACATCAATATCATTTGGTCTCAGGCCAGATTTCTCATAGCATTTTCTGGCAGCTTCTTTACTCATATCATAGCCAACCTAAAACCAAAATCATGTATAAATAAATTAATGCAACAAACTGGGATTTTTAGGTTAGGAATTTTAATAAATTAATTATGTACCATGCATGGTGGCATGTACCTGTAATCCCAGCAATGTGGGAGACTGAAGCAAGGGAATTGCAAGTTCCAGGCTAGCCTTGGTAACTTAGGGAGGCCCCAAGCAAGTTAGCAAGACCATATCTCAAAATAAAAAAAATTTTTAAAAGAGCTGGAAATGTAGCTCAGTGGCAAAGCACCACTGGCTGCAATCTCCAGTTCATCTCCCAAAGAAAAAAAAAAGAGAGAGATTAATTATAAATAATCTTGACAGCTCAGAATACCACACATATTGAAATCTGAGTTTATTCTACATTACACAAAAAGTCCAAATAACCCAGCTACTTGGGAGGATGAGGCAGGAGGATCATGAGTTTGAGGCCAGCCCGGGCAACATAGAACCTGTATATAATAATAATAATAATAATGTCCAGGAAGGAGAATGTACATACTAAATTTTATACTACAAACTATAAAACTTTAAGTAAGACATGAAAAGGACTTAAAATTCTTAGATCATATTTTATGCTGTTACAAAAACTCTATCAAATCCTAATTATAGTTGTGATAAATCAGTTGAAGAGATTTGTCAACACATCATTAGGAGTAACAAATAGTGAAAAATATCAAAGAACTTCTGTATGAAAATACATGATTTTTTTAGAAGATAATAGAGGATTCAAACCATTATTCCAAAGTCCATGCTCTTAACCTCTCTTTGGTCTTGCATAATAAAAGAATATGTAAACTCAAATTTCATCAAGAAATAAAACTGGAATAATATAAACTATACCACAATCATTAAACCTGAATATAATTTCTACCTCTACCACAACCTAACTTTGTGATCCTGGGCAAGTTATCAGGACATTTTCAAGTTCACAGCACTGCTGTAAAATCATTTTGTATACTATAATTATCAAATAATTGCTTCTGTGGGGGAAAAGGGAGTTTTCAAATATTCAACTAACTCTAGGTCTGAATTCTTATATTCTTTATCCATATTGCACAAAATCTTAAATCATGATTTTTGAAATGCTAAGGGTTAAGAAAGTTCTCTGGAACCAGGCATGGTGGTACACGCCTACAGTTTCAGCTACTTGGGATGCTCAGGCAAAAGTATCACTTGAGCCCAGGAGTTTAAGGCCAGCTTGGGCAACACATTAAGATTACATTTCAGGCTGCAATTGTGGCTCAGTGGTAGGACACTTGCCTAGCATGTGCAATGTACTGGGTTTGATCTTCAGCACTACATAAAATAAATAAATAAAATAAACATATTGCGTCCATCTACATCTAAAAAATATTTTAAAATATTACATTTCAAAGCCAGAGAGAAAAAAAAAAGAAAATAGAAGATCACAAGAAAATAGAAGGGAAATGAACAGAGGAGAAGGAAGGGATAAAAGGGAGGGATGAGGGAAGGGCATGGGGAAGTACTGGGGTATGAAATCTATCAAATTTTGCTACATCCATGTATGAACATACTACAATGAATCTTGCTTATATATAATTAGAAATAATAATAACAATAATAATAGGGGCTGGGGTTGTGGCTCAGAGGCAGAGTGCTTACCTTGCACATGTGAGGCACTGGGTTCAATCCTCATCACCACATAAAATATATAAATATGTAAAATAAAAGTATTGTGTCCATGTTCAACTAAAAAAATTTAATAATAATAATAATGATGATGATGATGATGATGGAAGGTAGATCAGTAGAGAAAGGAAGCAGATGGAGGAGGAGAAGGAAAGGAAAAATACTGGGGAAGGAGACTGATTAAATTATGTTATGTGCATGTACAAATATGGCATAATGAATCCAAACATTTTGTATAATTATAATGCATCAACAAAATATACTTAGAAAGAAATTTTTTAAAAAGACTACATTTCGGAAAAAGAAAAGAAAGACTCTCTAGAAACCTCCTTGTTTTCCCCATAACACTGTAAGATCGAAGTTCAGTCAACTCAAAACAAAAATAAGCAGCACTCCTAGTTAGTTAAAAGTTATCATATTCATGGTTCCATCATAAGAAGCATCTATTCTCGTCAATTGTTTTCTCCCAACAGATCTTTTTTTCCCCGTTTTTCTTTTTGTAGTATTAGGGATTGAAACCAAGGCTCTCTACCCACTGAGCTACATTCTCAGCCCTTTTATTTTTTATTTTGAGATATTAAATTTCCAGGTTGGACCTGAACTTGCAATCGCCCTGCCTCATTCTCCTTAGTAGCTGGAATTACAGGCACATGCCACCACACTCAACTTCTTAACAGAATCTTAAGAATGGGTTATAGATCTTTCAATTGTGTTCGCAGCCGCCGCGCCGCCGCTCTCTAACGCCAGTGCAGCCTCCAGTTCGCTGAGCTCCAGCTGAAGGAGAAGGGGGTAAGGTAAGTAAGGCGGTCTCTCTATCATGGCTCATACAAAGCCGACTGCCTGCAAATCTACGGGTGGTAAAGCACCCAGGAAACAACTGGCTACAAAAGCCGCGCGCAAGAGTGCGCCCTCTACTGGAAGGTGAAGAAACCTCATCGTTACAGGCCTGGTACTGTGGCACTCCGTGAAATCAGAAGTCCACTGAAATTCTGATTCGCAAACTCCCCTTCCAGGGTCTGGTGCGAGAAATTGCTCAGGACTTCAAAACAGATCTGCGCTTCCAAAGCGCTGCTATTGGTGCTTTGCAGGAAGCGAGTGGACCTTTTTGAAGACACCAACCTGTGAGCTAACCATGCCAAACGTGTAACAATTATGCCAAAAGACATCCAACTAGCTCGCTGCATATGTGGAGAACGTGCTTAAGAATTCACTATGATGGGCTGGGGATGTGGCTCAAGCGGTAGCGCGCTCGCCTGGCATGCGCAGGGCACTGGGTTTGATCCTCAGCATCACATAAAACAAAATAAAGATGTTGTGTCCACCGAAAACTAAAAAATAAATATTAAAAAAATTCTCTCTCTCTAAAAAAAAAAAATTCACTATGATGGGAAACATTTCATTCTCAAAAAAATTTTTTTTCTCTTCTCCCTGTTATTGGTAGTTCTGAACGTTAGATTTTTTTTTTTTCCCATGGAGTCAAAAAGTACCTAAGTATATGACTCCAAGTGGAAAAATAGGGGACAGAAATCAGGTATTGGCCGTTTTTCCATTTTCATTTGTGTGTGAATTTTTAATATAAATGCGGGGATGTAAAGCATTAATGCAAGTCAAAAATGTTTCAGTGAACAAGTTTCAGCAGTTCAACTTTATAACAATTATAAATAAAACTGTTAAATTTTTCTGGACAATGCCAGCATTTGGATTTTTATAAACAAGTAAATTTCTTATTCACAGTAACTAAATGGTGTTTGTAGCATTTTTATCATATAGTAGATTCCATCCAATCACTATACTTTTCTAACTGAGTTGTCCTACATGCACGTACATGTTTTTAACGTTGTCTGTCTTCTGTGCTGTTCCTGTAAGTTTCCTATTAAAATACATTAAACTATACATTAAAAAAAAGAATGGGTTATAATAGCTGGTTTCGGTGGTAAATCCCCATCACCCCCTTGACTGAGGAGGCTGAAGCAGGAGGATAGCAAGTCCAAGGCCAGCTTCTGCAAATTAATGAGACCCTATCTCAAAACAGAAAATAAAAAGGGTTGGGGATGTAGCTCAGTGGTAGAGCACCATGGGTTCAATTCCTAGTAATACCTACACACACACACACACACACACACACACACAGAGAATGGATTATAATAATAAAATTTAAAATTTCTACCTTTTTTTGGGGGGGGGTATGGTATTAGGGATTGAACCCAGGGCCTTGGACACACTAGGCAAACCTTTCTACTTACTGCACCACATTCCCTGTCTTTTAAATTTTATTTGAAGACAAGATCTTGCTAAGCTGCCCAGGCTGGCCTCAAACTTGCAACTGTCCTTCCTTAGCCTTCTAGATGAAATTTTCATAAGTACATAACTTCCAAAGCTAATGACAATATAATATTGCCTCAAAATTTTAAATAGAATTTCCTCAACTGGATTAATAAAACAGAATTTCAAACATACCACTTTAATAACACTTTCTTCATCAAATGTACTTGGCAAATCGGTCACCATCTCCTGTGCCAAAATTTCCACAGCTTTGGATTGCAGTCCGTACTTCTGTACAAATTCTTCACTGGCCAAAATTGCTGCTGCAGCACCATCTGAAGTGGGACTAGAAGGAAGTAAAAATAAATAATTATTTATACCAGCACTACCTCAATTGTAAGATTTGAGACTATACAAGAAGAAAGGTCAAGTATTTTTGCTGGCCAGTGCACTATCTCTTTTATGATACTGACAGTTTAAAAAATCATATATGCTGGAAGAACTGAACTTCCAACAAGACCTTAAATGTTATCAGTCACTGCTTGGTCTCTAGAATATCTCCCAAAAAGTTTTCTTTGCAAAGAATCCAGGATTTGCCCCTGCAGTTACATAAGGCACTGTCTGGTGATCTTCTGAAGAGTGAGTACAAAGGTTATTTTATCTTAGTACAATAAAGATTCTACTATAAGCCTAAATAGTTCCAATGTTGCTACCTCTGAAATAGCTCAGTACAAAAATCTTTTCAGAAACTGGGAAAGGAGAAAACAAGGGGAAAGTCCATAGTTAGGACTCTTAGTTATAAGAGTCATAGTGAAGAAAATATCAGAAAGTCCATAGTTAAGACTCTTGAGATCTCCTCAAGAATATATCTTTTTTCCTTAGAGCATACTGTAAAGCTAGGTTGCAAACACAGGAAGCCCTCTGTGAGTTCAGCAGGGCTTTCTAAATGGGAAGACCCTCAGATAGCAACAGATAAAAGCTGGCCCAACTTGTTCACCCACATCCCAGCCAGCATCTCCAAAGCAAAGCCAGGTGTATACAAGGACACAGGCAAGAGCTATTCAACATTCACTCAATCTTCTAGAAAAGAGATCACATCAGGCAGTTTGCAAGTTGCCAATATTATCATTATTAGAGCTATGATTTTTGTTTTACTTCTACTCTTACCTACTATTACTCAGTAAAATTTCCTGTATTAGAAGTCTATAGCAGGAAAAACAAAATGTTCAAGGAAAAAACCTCGGGACTCCACTAGCCTCCTAAGCCACATTTTAGTGAATAAATATAATTAAAACAACCAAAGTGGGCAGAAGTTAGGAGAGAGGGAAGAAGTAAAACACAGTTTTTCAAAAAGGAGTCAGTCTGTCTCTGGACAGGAACAGGAAGTGAGTATTCTAGTGAAGGACCCAAAATGGAACCACTTGTAGGAATTCTGTAAAATCTACACCCAGATACAGAGCCTAAGATTTAACCACAGAGAGATGAGCAGGGAGAGGAACAGCTACATCTATCTATTAAATGCTAAAATGTGTTTTTCTTACCAACATTGTAAGACAGTCAAAAACTCAAAAATGCTTCGAGATGCCATCACTTCATCTAAACTGTATTCATCTTGAAATTGGGAATACCTAAATACAAAATAAGTAGTTACAAAATGTGAGGCAGCGATTACAATTTTTGTTGAAGATGTCTGGGTCCAGAGTTACAGAGAGAATAATCTGTGAATATTCTTTTCACAGCCAAAGACAAACTTTTATGAATAGTTTCAACCTTGAATAAATAAGTCATTTGAGCTCTATAAAATAAAAAATCCCAACTCCAAAATATCCAATAAAATCTCTGGACATAGAAGTTTGGTGAGGCTTCCTAGTTGAGAAACACCTGATGTGCCAAAAGGTAAAGTGCCCTGTTGCCACAGGAAGAGGACATGAAAGTTCTGCATTGGAACCCTCCCAGACTCTACCCTACATGCTTCTTTATTTGGCTGTTCCTTATTTCTATCCTTCATAATAAAACTATAATGGTAACTAGAATGCTTTCCTAAATTCTATAAGTTATTCCAGAGAATTATCAAGCCTGACGAGGTCATGGGAACCCCTGGATTTGTAACCAGTCAATCAGCGGTGTAGATGGCCTGTCCACCACCTGCAGCTGGTGTCTGAGGTGAGGGTGGTCTCATGGAGGATGGAGGCCTTAATTCATGCGGTCTGCATAAACTCCAAGTGGAACATGGCAGATTTGAGTAGCAGTACACTCAGCTAGTGTTAGACCTGTTGAGGGTTAAAACAGAATTGCACAATTTTTGCTGGCAAATTATACAATATTGATTCCTTAAAAGCAAAATTAAATGATGTGCAATTCAACCCTCTTTTGTGGTGATACTATACAAGTACATTTAATGAAGGCTAATGGAGCTCTTAAGTAAATGTAAGTTCTCCAAGTTCTAAAACTAAAACCTGTAATAATTTTTTTTAATCTTTATTTTTCAGTTGGTCGCAATATCTTTATTTATTTATTTTTATGTGGTGCTGAGGATAGAACCCAGGGCCTTGTACGTGCTAGGTGAGTGCTCTACCACTGAGCCACAACCCCAGCCCCTGTAATAAATTTTTGATTCTTAAAAAACATATTTCCTATGCCAGACATCATGGCACACACCTGTCATGCAACTACTTGGGAGGCCAGGGCAGGAAAACTGCAAGTTTTAAGCCAGCCTTGGCAACTTAGCAAGTCCCTGTTTCTCAAAATAAAATATTTTTTAAAAGGTCTAGGGATATAGCTCAGTAGTAGAGCTGTAGCCTAGCATGTACAAGGCCCTAGGTTCAACCCCTGTTTCTGCAAAACACACAAACAACAACTAAAAAACACATTACCCTTCCATGACTGCAAAGAAGGAAATTTACTTTTATTCTCTTTGGCTCCTCTAACAATATAATCATATGGCTTCAGAAGCCACCCTGGAGAAAATAGTAGCAGAAAGATAAATTACAAAGGAGTTTATAAAAGCAAATGTCAACTCCTGGGGAAATTAACAAGCAATTCAAAATTTTAGAAAATAAACCAGTGGCACATGACTATAATCCCAGCTATTCAGGAGGTTGACACAGAAGAATCACAAGTTTGAGGGCTGCCTCAGCAATTTGTGAGAACCTGTCTCAAAAAGAATTTTTTTTTAAAGAGAGAGAGAGAGAGAGAGAGAGAATTTTTTAATATTTATTTTTTAGTTTTCGGCAGACACAACGTCTTTGTTATGTGGTGCTGAGGATCGAACCCAGGCCGCACGCATGCCAGGCAAGCGTGCTACCACTTGAGCCACATCCCCAGCTCCTCAAAAATTTTTTAAAAAGGGGAATTGAAGATGTAGCTCAGTGATAGAGCACCCATGAATTCAACCCTCAGTAACATACAAACAAAAAAATTTTTAGATAATAAAGCCTGCATAACTTAAGTTTATATACTAGTGTCTGCACTTTCACTTGCAGATGGAGTTAACAGTAAACCAACTTTCAAAAACCACCTTATTTGGGCCACATACTGTGCTAGGCACCAGGCACATGTTTATAATCCCTACCCTCAAGGAACTCAACATGATTCCATGGCAAAGAAATACATAATTCGAATATGTATAACAAATGTTATGCTAGAAATGTTATATGGGGTGCTGTGGGAGCACAGACACGCTTCATATATCAGAAGGTAAATAAGAAGTGGGAAAGAAAGAATTCCCAACGGAAGTAGCAGCACAGGCAAAGCCTCTCCAGGGGAAATAGTCTACTGGAGCAAGGGCATAACGTGTGGAAGAGAATGTGGAAGCAAGGCAAAGAAGATGGGACGGGAGAAATGAACAGGGATTAAACCATGCAGCCCAGTTATGATGTTTACATTTTATTTTGAAAACACAGAGTAACTACTAAAAGATAGTTAATCTGAAGTGTGACATGACCAGATCGGTATTTCTGCAAGAGGCTGAGGCATGGGAAGTGATGGTAAAAAGGCATTACCAAGAGCAAGTAAAGACTGGGGCAAATACTTAAGGTAAGAAATGATAAGGCCCACCAGGCCCAGCAGCACATAGTTTGTAATCCCAGCAATATAGGAGACTGAGGCAGGAGGATCACAAGTTTAAGGCCAGCCTCAGCAATTTTTTAATTCAAAAAATAAAAAGAACTGGGTATATAGCTTAGTAGTAAAGCACCCCCGAGGTCAATTCCCTGTACTGAAGAAAAAAGAAAAAAGCAGGGGAGAGGCTGCAAACTGGAAATGAAAGATGGAGAGAAAGGATAAATTCAGAGATAGCAAGGGGGGCAAAATCTCTAGGACTTCAAACCACTACATATGGGACACTGAGGGGAACAGCAGACGCAAACATGACTTCTCATTTTCTATCTTGGATGACTAGGTGTATACTGATGTCATTTGCTAAGATGCAGAACAATGAAAGGGAAACAGGATTGAAGGGAAATGACAAATTCTGTATGAACATGTTGATTCGTAGGCACCTGTGGGACATCTGAGGCGACAACCAAGGGAAAATTATAGACACAGGTGTGAAACCTCAAGTGACACAGGCTATCCCTAATCCTTATCACCAATTCTCACTATATTCTTATAATTGTTAAGAAAATGCTTGAGAACAATTTCTTAATTCAACCTTATATAGGAATATGTGCCAGAGTATCTCTAATGACTGGTCAGCAAGCCCAGAATTCTCTTTATCACTAGCCAAGTAAAACCGAGTACAAGAAGTTACCATCTAAAATTTCTGAAACAAACCCAAAAGGCTCTTCTGGGCTGCTTCAAAGACTTTTTATTTTTTTAAGTTTTAGTTGTTGATGGATCTTTATTTTATTTATTTGTATGTGGTGCTGAGAATCAAACCCAGTGCCTCATGCATGCTAGGCAAATGCTCTACCACTGATCACAACCCTTGCTTCAAAGAATTTTAAATGATAAAAATGACATCCAGTGGGTAGGGTTGTGGCTCAGCAGTAGAGTGCTCACCTCACATGTGTGAGGCCCTGGGTTCTATCCTCAGCACCACATAAAAATAAATAAATAAAATAAGGATACTGTGTCCAACTACAACTAAAAATAAGAATAATAAAATGATATTCAGTAATAACATATGTCAACCTGGTGCAGTGGGCAGGAAGATGACAAGTTTTGAAGCCAGCCTCAGCAATTTAGCAAGACTATCACAACTTAGACCCTGTGTCAAAAAGAAAAAGGGGTAGGGGACTGGGGATGTAGCTAAGCAGGAAAGATCCCCTGGGTTCAATTCCCAGCCCCCCCCCCCAAAAAAAAAGGAAGAAAAAAGGAAATCTTTAATCTTTAAAAAAAGAAATAATGTCTGCCTATTCAACATAATTGACAATTTATAATATGTAACAGAAGATCCATGGGAACAAGAAACTCATCTGTGTTATCACCAGTAGCTAGAGCAATGTCTTATATGTAGTGGGCTACTGAACATATATTTGTTGAAAAAAAATCCTTAAGAGAATATATAAAAAGTAGATAAATGAGTGCCTGGTCAGGCAAGTAATGAAGCCAAAGAAAGACTTAGAAGCTCTAATTCTTTGGGTAAAGTGAAGAGCTACTTTTTAAGCCTCAAACTGCAGTGCTATCCAACAGAACCAATTCCTTATAGTTTCAGGAAATCACGAAGAGTTTTTACGATTTTCTAGTTCTAAATACAAAGAAAACCAATTCTAGACCATATTTATGGGCTTAAAACTGCTCATCCTAATTCTACTATTCAATAACCGCAAAGTTTCATTGCACATCTAAGTACCCTACTGGATCCTATAAACACGAAGATGAGACACATGGCTGCTTGAGGATCATCATCATCAGAGGAAGACTCACAGGTAACTAAATGTGATGTGTCAAAACAGAAGTATTCAGAACAGGCAATGAAGCTCTAAGAAGGTGTTAAGAGAAGCAATGAGGGCTGTAGTTGTGGCTCAGAGGTAGAGTACTCACTTAGCATGCGGGAGGCACTGGGTTCTATCCTCAGCACCACATTAAAAAAAATAAAAATAAAAATAAAGATATTGTGTCCACCTATATATAACTAAAAAATAAATATTTGTTTAAAAAAGAAGCAATGAAATTCAGGCTGAAATCTTTGAGATCTTACATTTGCTTTTTAAGTACAAAGTTGGATATTACACAATAGGATAAACCAGATTTCTTATAATCTCATATCTCTGAAATACTTACGGGTTATTAACTGAATGTTTATGATTTTTCCATCCAATTTTTGCAAAGTGTTCAGTTTTTGTTCCTGTGGAGAAAGAAAACATCTATTAGTGTTAATGTCTTTCTGCTGCTTATTAACAAGTGCTACAGTGGTACTTAGTGTTCTGCTGAATATTCCTACATTTCCTCCTTGCATAGATATCAGTATTTACAACTTGAACACTGATTTTCACATATACTTCTTTATAACTAAATTTGGGTATGTTTAATTAATTGAAACAACAAGAGGCATATGAGATAAAAATAATTCAAACTGCTCTATTCTCTTTAGTATAATGAAGAGTCAAATTTGAAAAACTAGAAAATTATAGTCTAAAACCACAGTGGTCTAAGTCAGGAGAGCACTGCAGCAATCCTAGAGTCTTCCAGAAACCCTGATGACCCTAGGGTTAGTGAACAACAAGTCATGCCCTCCAGGGCCTGATGAATACCTCATCATCAGGCAAAAGGTTCTTTAGAAGAATCACATCCTGACAAAAATTATGTATGCTTTTTAAATTCCTTAAAAGAAAATGTGTAAATACATAACAGTGTAAAGAAAACAAGAGCAAGTACACCAATGAGGTAAAACTTGCAAAAATTTACCTCTTTTTAAAAAGAAAAAATGGAATTAAAATAGTATTTGAATTCTCCTTTGGAGTTGGAAAGGCCAACAAAAGAAAAAGTCCAGTGATTAGAATTGAAGTCATGGAATGGCATGGTAAAATAGAATGTCCCCATTTCTGTTTTATCTCTGTATTCTCCATCAAGGAGGAAGATTTTTCAGGCCAGAAATGACATACATATAATTGAGCACAACTTATACCAATTCTAATAAAAAGAGAAGAAGATAACACCAAAACAACAAATAAGCCAATCAATGGGAACAAGGAATTGAACAGACACCTCTCAGAAGATTTGAATTATTCAACAAATATATGAAAAAGTGTTCAACATATCTAGCAATTAGAAAAATGCAAATCAAAACTACTCTTAAGATTTCATTTCCCTCCAAGTGTTGACGAGGATGTGGGGAGAAAGGCACACTCATACATTGCTGGTGGGACTGCAAATTGATGTAACCAATATGGAAAGCAGTATGGAGATTCCTTGGAAAACCTTGACTGGAACCACCATTTGACCCAGCTATCCCACTCCTTGGTCTATACCCAAAGGACTTAAAAACAGCATCCTACAGGGACATAGTTGCATCAATGTTCATAGCAGCACAATTCACAATTGCTAAATTGTGGAACCAACCTAGATGCCCTTCAGTAGATAAAGAAACTGTGGTATATATACACAATGGAATACTACTCAGCATTAAAAGAGAATAAAATCACAGCATTTGCAGGTAAATGGATGAAGTTGAAGAATATTATGCTAAGTGAAGTAAGACAATCCCAAAAAACCAAATGCCAAATGTTTTCTCTGATATGAGGATGCTGATCCATAATGGAGATGGGGTGGGGGAACATGGGAAGAATGAAGGAACTTTAGATAGGGGAAAGGGAAGGGAGTGGATAGGGAGGTAGGAAAGATGGTGGAATGAGAGACATCAATACCCTAAGTACACGTATGAAGACACAAATGGTGATGCTCTACTTTGTATACAATCTGAGACATGAAAAATTGTGCTCTATATGTGTACTATGAATTGAAATGCATTCTGCTGACATGTATAACAAATTAGAATAAATAAATAAATTTTTAAAATTAAAAAAAAGAGAAGGTAGATTCCACACTGGTGATCTAATAACAATAAGAGTGGTGATATAGATGTCAACATGAGTTCAATTAAGGACAGGCCAAGCTGAGGGCAGGAGGATCCAGAGTTCAAAGCCAGCCTCAGCAAAAGCGAGGCAATAAGCAACTCTGTGGGACCCTATCTCTAAATAAAGTACAATATAGGGCTGGGGATGTGGCTCAGTGGTTGAATGCCCCTAAGTTCAATTCCTGATACCCCGCCCCCCCCAAAAAAAGAACATGTTAATATCTTTTTGTGATTTAACTGAATGCTAACTGAAAGGAAACATCTTATCTGACTATTAACAAGACAATTAACTAAGTTCTTCAAGACATCTTTTTCAACAAGAAAATACTGTAGTGTGTGTTTTGTTGTGTTTGTATTTTAATTATTTTTGGTGTTTTTTTTTTAATGAGGGTTCTTTTGTCAAACAAGAATAGATTCCTTTACTAAGATATTTAGAGTCCTCACCATGGAATGTGCACTGTGACTTCCAAAAGGAGGATTAACATAGAAAGCATTTCCCAACCTATCTGACCCATGTCATGGTGCATCTTAGGAGCTTAGTGCCCCATGGAACACTCATTGGCAAACACAGCATTAATGAATGCCTCCACTTAAAGAAAAGCCCTAACCACTAACCTTAGCTGTGTTCTGATTAATTTTTCCAACTGAAACTAAATTAGAAGATTAAAATGACACTCACCAAACCTGAAGCTTGAAGGAAATGCTGTAATAATGAATTCAACTAGATTTCAGCAAGATTTATCAGTGGAATGGACCAAAATATAAATTAAATGCCCAGTTCTGTTCTTAACTCTCCCCCTACCAAAACAAACAAACAAACAAAAAAGCCCTGGGAAAGAAACAACTATGAGGCACACTCTGAGGTTCTGTTCAACTACAAGCTCAATGAGATTTAACAGAATGATGTGGCTCCCAGAAAGGCTTACATATGGTCACGGCATGGAAATTAGGTGATGGGTCATGAAACAAATCTAATAGAGACAAGAGAAGAGGCTAAATTAAGCAGAGTTAGGCTGGCTTCATATATTTGAAAGGCTTCTGTGAGTCTCAGAAGATAGAAAGAAGGCCATAGGTATAAACTACAGGTGAGAGATTTAGGTTTTGGGAGGAGGGGATAAGGGAGAAAGGAAGAAGGAGGAAGGAGAGAGAAAGGAGAAGGAAGAAGTGAGAAGGAGAAGAAAAGAAGAACTGTTATAACTGGAATCACCCCAAAAATGAAATTAGTAACCTCAGCTGGTTGAAAACTTCCTTGTTATAGGGAGCACAAATATTTTATTCTCTCTTGGAAGATTCACAAGCAATTTATGCATGGATTGGTAGGAAGAAAGGCTGCTAAAACTATATAAAAGCACTGGGCATAATATCCAACCCAAGAGATATTCAGTAAGTGCTGATATCTTTTCACTCTTTTTCTTTCTATGGGATCCAGTTAATCTATAAAACACCCCATTCCCTTGAAAAATATTCTGCTAGTTACTTATATATTTTGTAAGCCTAGGCACTAATAATAAAGGGCTTGTTAATCACTGATTCAGAACTGTCAATTAAGAGTTCTAGCTGTTCAAAGGCCTAGTATAAAAAGATTTCAGTCCCCTTGAGTCAAATTATGAAGCACAAGAGTGTGCATATTCTATCAGTTGGTAGAGTGCTTGCCTCGCATGCACAAGGCCCTGGGTTCAATCCCCAGCACTACAAAAATAAATAAATAAATAAATACCTGAAAAAAAGTGTGCATATTCTAATGACTTTAAGCTTCCACAAACTTTCTTATATATTTATTCAGAGTGTACATTCATAAACAGTAATTTCAAATGATAACCTAAATACAATAAAATTCTACAATTCATTTGGAAATCTGTTGAAAAATAATATTTCAACTAAAATAACACATATTTTTATTTCAAATTTTGGTGTAGAAAAATTTCCAACTAGTCCAAGTAATGTGAAACTTGAGAAAATATAATCTTTTTTTTTCATTTTTAAATAGCCTACTTCAATTTTAGCTCTAGTGACTCCACATATAAAATATGAATGTATTATTGCTCACATACCTCATTTGAATAACATTAATATTTTCATATTGTTCAAATATATAACATCTAAGTTTTGTTCTGTAACTTCAGGTCAAAGTTGGGTTAATAATTTTGCATGCAACTACATTCAATGTGCCTCATGGATTATGGACTCCACAGCGTTTATTTCAATTTTTTTATGTTTTCATTAATGCATGATGGTTATCCTAATATTGAAGTTCATTTTGACATAAACATACACACATGGAATTTAATTTGCTCCACTTCAGTCCCCAGTACTTTGCTCCTCCTCTCCCACCTTCCTGTTTTCTCTCATTTATCTTTTTTAAAAATTTTGGTTTGTTAAATATGACAACAGAATGTATTACAATTCTTATTACACATATAGAACACAATTTTTCATATCTCTGGTTGTACACAATGTAGAGTCACATCCTTCATGTCTTCTTACAGGTACTTAGGGTAATGATGACCATCCATTCCACCATCTTTCCTAACCCCTATGTCCTCTCCCTTTCCCTCCCTCCCCTTTTCCCCTTTGCCCTATCTATAGTTCATTTAATCCTCCCACCACCACCCCCACAGCATATTATGGATCAGCATCCTTAAATCAGAGAAAATATTTGGCATTTGGTTTTTTGGGGATTCGCTAATTTCACTTAGCATTATATTCTCCAGCTTCATCATTTACCTGCAAATGCCATGATTTTATTCTCTTTTAATGCTGAAAAATATTCCATTGTGTATATATACCACAGTTTCTTCATCCATTCATCTACTGAAGGGCATCTAGGTTGGTTCCACAGTTTAGCTATTGTGAATTGTGCTACTGTAAACATTGATGTAGCTGTGTCCCTGAAGTACACTGTTTTTAAGTCCTTTGGGCATAGACCAAGGAGTGGGATAGCTGGGTCAAATGGAAGTTCCATTCCCAGTTTTCCAAGGAATCTCCACACTGCTTTCCATATTGGCTGCACCAATTTGCAGTCCCAACAGCAATGTCTGAGTGTGACTTTTTCCCCATATCCTCGTCAACATTTATTGCTGTTTGTATTTTTAATAGCTGACATTATGACTGGAGTGAGATGAAATCTTAGAGTAGTTTTGATTTGCATTTTTCTAATTGCTTGAGATGTTGAACATTTTTTCATATATTTTGTTGATTAATTGTATACTGAGAAGTGTCTGTTCAGTTCCTTGACCCACTTATTGATTGGGTTTTTGTTTTTGTTTTTGTTT